TGTATGTGAATTGTTAAATAATTACTCGGCATCTTAATGTTTAAAAGTGTTTCCTTCAACCGCATTTTGTATTCATAGAGGGTTGATCCTGCATAACTGCAGAATTTGGTGTCTTCTGAGCAAATTGTTTTGGTTGCTTCTGCTAATAAGTACACAGCATCTATGACCATCGGAACAAGACCTTCTTGTTTGTAGTTTGCTTTCAAGTCTTCTTTGCCTGAAAAAAGATAAACGTTTATAGTTCAACGATGATAATTCTGTAATAATGAGATTACAATTATTCAATGATGATCATTGAATAATAATAATAATAACTCTGAAAAAGCATTTTCATAATACAGAAGTGAACAGCAATGACATAGAAATAAACGAAATTATTTTCTTATGAGTTCTTCTTTACTTGAAAAATATGTTCTTAAAGCTCAACGATAATAATTCTGTAATTCAATGATGATAATATAAGATAATATTCAATGATAGTACATTCAACGATGATAATTCTGTCATGCAGTTCAATGATGATAATATAATGATTCAGCGATGATTATTCACTAATAATATTTTAATAACTGTGTAAAAGCATTTTGTTAATAGAAAAGTGAACATACAGAAATAAACAAAGCTATTTCTAATGAGTAAATATAGAACCATTTGTACAAATTATTATGAATTCTTTGTTTCCTTCTTACATCTTTGTGTTTGTCACCGGATTTAAATAGACACTCGTGAATAATAAATAAGAAAAAGAATAAAATAAGAAAATATGATTTAAATTAATTTCCTTTTAAACTTATTTTTAGTTATTTCCTTTAAAGTAATAAATTAATTGTTTTAATTGTCACACACCATCTTGCTTTTTTATAAATTTCTTTTTGGTCCTTAATAAAATGTATCTGTGATACTTGGTCATTTCATCGAAGGAACTTTTTTATACTTTGCCCCCCCCCCTTAGCTATAGATTTTATGGACTAAAATAAAAATAAGAGAAAAAATAAAAATGTAAATTTCATTATTTTACTCTACCTGTACATTTTATTGTTGACGTAGTATCCATCGTATTGAACTGGCAGTTGAATTGTGTTTCCCAAAACTCTTCAAACCAAGGATTACGAGTATTTGTTTCAGGAGTCAACGATGTGAAATATTCATCAAATCCTGAAAATATTTTTCACATGCGTTAATGTAATAATTTTTTAATATTCTATATTGTTAAGAATGATAAAACTTGTAGCGTTAAGTTGCATTTTTTTTGAACATTTAATACAGATAATAAAAAATTTTGTTATCGGGAAAATGTATAGAATGTATATATTTTAGATAAAATAAAATGCTTCTAAAATAATAAAACTAAGTAAAGTTTTATGTTCATTTATTTTTCTGGTTATTAGCTCTATGTGTTACTTATAACTTTATAAATGGATTACAAATTTTAAAAATTTAATTTGTGTTTGTTCTATTGGTTTGACATTTTTTTCTTTCTAGATGTGCAGATGTTTATTGAAAGGAAATAAAAAGGAAAGGAAAAAATCGTAATTTTCATAATTAGTCAGAGTGAAGCCATTTTAATGAGATGTTTACTTACCATCAATGGGATATCGTTTTGGCAAAATAGTAATTGCCCCCTTAACAAGATGTTCGTTTCCCTTAACCACTCTATCTTTGGCACCCCATCCATCACTTCCTATCCAAATGAATCTATCTTCACTTATTCTGTATCTATGGCATGCATCTAACAAGTGGCTTCACATAAATAAACCATTGATTAGTAGAACAAAACAAAAAATTAAAATTTCTTTGTATATTTATGCATTGGAAATCATGGAATTTAAAGCTATGAAACTAATCATGATTGTAAATACCGTTCGAAATTAATAGACACGTGATTTAGAAAAATTTTCTTTGAAGTTTCTTAGGGCAATTTTTTATTGCTCCACAAAAAGAATTGTTAGAGTTTAAATGAAGAAGATGTTGTTTTCAAGTATTTAAAAATTATAAAACTAATTATAATACCAAGATGGACGTATGTACAGTGAGCCAAAAAAGAAAAAAAGGAGATAAAGAACGGGCTACTCTGAATAACTTTTGATTTAATGATCGGATCCTAACGTTTTAATTGTCAATCTCAATAGTTCAAGGGGGTGACTTCAAACATACAAATTAAGTTATGCAGACGATATTTTAAGTAACGAAATCAGACACAAAAACCTATTGTCTCTGAATAAACATGCCTTTTTTTTTCCAATGGATTCGGGTTTTTGACCACCAAAATATGGAGGGTAGCTGCAATCTGGGAAACATGAAGTTTGTCCTCAATCTAAACCTTACTTTTTCTATATTTTGCCATATTTTTCTATATTTTACCATATTCCACCAGAACTTTTTAAGCTAATTGAAACATTTTAAACACAATTATGAAATTCGTTTATCTAAAATAAATTTAGTAAATATTTAATATTTTTTATTTTATTAAATAATAGTCGAAAAAGTTTAGAGTTATAAGGTAAACTGTTTTTTTTTTTACATTATTTTAAAGTATGTAATTTCATACGGCAAAATGCAAAATTTGAGCGAAATCGGTTGAACAGTTTTTGAGAAATCGAATTTTAAAGTGATCCTCTGTCTAAAATTCGATTTCTCAAAAACTATTCTACTGATTTCGCTGGATTGCTATGATTTCGCTCTATTGCTCTCCGCTATTTTGTAAATGTAAAATTACATATTTTAAAAATAACGTAAAAAATTGCATACTTTACAATTCAAATATTTTTGTGACTATTTTTAAATAAAATAATTAAAAAAATATACTTTTATTAATATTTGTTTTTTTGCAAGGAATTATCTTTGGATAATTGAATTTTATAATTGTGTGCAAACATTTTTCAATTCTCTTAAAAAAGTTTTCGGGATATGACAAAATACGCAAAAATTAAAATCAACATTAAGGGGTCCAAACTTTGGAACACTCTATTGGCCAAACTATAGGGATCATATTTCCCAGATTGCCATAGCTGTGAACGCTTTTAACTTTATCGCAAAGTATGACAAATCACGTAAACTAGCAGGTTCGTTTAAGAAACGTATTAGTTGTCTATGGTAGGAAGTGAGATCGATTATTTTAAAAAGTTATTCATCATGTCATCCCTTTTTAGGTAGCAATGAAAAGCAAATATGTCTGATATTTTGCACAGTTCTCCTTTAACATCAGAAATTTAAGCCATAAGGATAAAAATTTAATTTGTTTGTTACTATAAAAACTATATCACTTTAAATTATAGAATTAATAGAAAAAGGCGTAAAAAGTATCGTTTTCATTGATTATTTTTTCTTTATTTTATAGTATTACAGCAACATGAAATGAAAATTATTCTTATTAATTCATAGATTTTTCGAAATCTATGAAGATCGAAAATTTGCTGGAAATCGGGTGCAAAATTGTAAATTCATTGATTGGATTCATTAAGCCAATACTGCTAAATAATGTTAAAAGTAAGTCCACCAAAATATGTAAAGAAAAAAATTGAGACAAAATTAGTATTGCTTAAGAATTTGGAAATTGAGTTCAATTAGGAAGTTACACATTTCTTGAATTTATCATTAAAAAAATTAGATGAAGAAAAAAGATAAAATAAAATTTTTTTCTCTTGAGATTTTTAGTACAAATTCGCTTTGTGCGAAATAAAGAAAGCAATATATTTTAAAGAAAATTAAATCATTCCACGGAAGTTTATAAATTTTAGACTATATCATTTATTTAAATACATTATTTTTATTTATTTAAATATAATCATATTACTTTCTTTTAAGAAAAACTAAAAATAAATATGTTACATAATTTCCATTTTACTTTATTTTATCTTCATTCAAGAAAACAATCACTACTTTAGCTTCTTCATGCAAGGAAAGGCGGCGAACTGCATCATCGTAATTGTCATCGGTGGGATCTCTTTCTAATATTACTTTTGCAGCAAAACATATGTCTGAAATTCAAAAAATAAAAATAACTATCGACAAAACAAGATAATATTGAATGAGATAAGGTAAAATGAATAAAATTCGATTTTACAATATTTATATAACAGGAAGTTTAGGCTACACTGAGAGGATACTGCACACGCTGCTCTGCGCACAGGTGTGAATGACCCTGGCTGCAAATTCAGCGGAGTTTAGCGACCTGCTCGTCCCGCAGTGGACTGATCGTTAAGACACGGTTCCCAGCAGATCGCAGAAGTCAANCTGGCTGCAAATTTCATATCCAGCGGAGTTTAACGACTTGCTCTCCTGTTTAGCATTTTTATTTAAATAAATACAAAAAACTCGATTCTTGACACTGTTTTAGTTTTTGGTAACAAATTTAATGACCGTCGTTGTCTAGCTGATCCAATTTTTGGGTTTACGACTACTAATGGTGCTTACAACTTGTTTGAGATAAATGGTACTTATGACTACTAATTTGGGTTTACGATTACCGTAGCCTTGTAATTTTGAACCCAATCCAGAAGACAAAGGAACTCCTGGACCAAATATTGAGAAAAATTTGATTTCGTAGAGAACTTTTTGATGGAACTAACCCGCATTTGTCTTATAAGGAGGGAGAGGAAAACCACGACAACCTCCCACGAATAGCCTGACAGCAAGGGGGCTCAAACCCATGATCCGTCTACCACTCGGGAATTTTACGTCAGCACTGTGGTGCGTGCTAGCCGGATGCGGAATTCGTATTGACCATCGCTGGGATTCGAACCCGATTCACCTCATTGAAAGGCGAACGTGCTATCCCCTGAGGCATCATGGCTCGGTAATAAATTTTAAAAGAAATGAAAGTTTGTATTATAATTGGGACCAACTACAGCCAAGATTAAAACTCCGAAAAAGAGAGCGAGTCGTTACCCCTGCTTGTATGTTTCTATAACTCACGTAAACTCACTTTCGTAGATGGATCATTACAGTACTACTGCTGTTGGGTTAACCATAAGAATTTTGCGAGCTTAGTGAGTTTTGTGAGTACAAGACGCATCCTTAATACTTCTCAGTATTTCATTTGCTTAAAATAGTCAGTTTTGTCACTAGGAATGGAGTCAGAATTTTCGCGAAAGAAGAAATTATATTCCTTAATGGAAAAAAAAAATCAAAGGGTATGCTTTCCTGAAATAAATGCTTAGTATTTTATGAATACTACATTTGAGATTAATGAAAAGATGAAAAATAATTGAGAAATATTTACCGTTATTCGTGGAATTGCTTATTAGATCTTTAAGACTTTCAATAGCAGTTTCACCATATTCTCCTTTCGAAGCTACGGTAGACACAAATGTCCATTTAAATTCAATAAGAATATCTAAAATGACTTTGATTTGATATGCATCTGAAGGTACAACTCGAAAGAAGTAAGGATACTTGTGTGTGTCATCAAATTCTTTACTTGTGGAAGCATAACTGACTTGAGGAATCTATAAAAGAAATTAAAATTTAGTATTGTTGATCCTGTTCATTGGTCTGAAAGTTGGTTAATATAAGAACTGCGTAACGTTATAATCGAAGAAGTTTTAGAAAAGAGTTTTTATTAAGTATATGAAACGACCCTCTGACATCATATCATGCGACGTCTTATATTTTATACAGCTCTGTGTGCCAATTCATTGTGAAAAATATTCACTTAATCGCGCTGTTTTTTGGTTTATTTTTAAGAGAATTTTTCCGTTTAAACGTTATTTTTATTCCAAAGGAGCAAAACCTCTACAACAGTTGATTCTGTTATGAAACAGTTGATTCTGCTATAAAAACCAAGGGGTGGATCCTAGAATAGCCCACCCCATGGAGATTTTTTTAAATCTCACCAAGCAAGTTTTTGAAATCTCGCCAAACTAGGTTTCCGGAAGATATTTCAGAGAGATTATTTTGAACTTCCAATAACACCACCAAATTCCGTAAACCTGATTGGTTATTTGATATGTATACTTACGCGAAAGTTGGATTTCGTTAGAAAAGAGGTAAAAGGGTTTATTTTTTCGCCATTTATGCCATTCGCCATTTCATCGTTATTATTTAATTTTTCAATCGTTATTTCATTCATTGCCGTTATTACTTCATTCTGAAATTTTTTTCTGTGCGGCACCTCTTGAAAATGGTGAGCGAATAGACGAATGAATTTCTAACTTTATTGAATGCAAAAGGTAAGAGAGCGATGATTGAATGGTGTATGAATATATTAAAAAATTCTATTAAAATTTATAATATTATATTATATTATTGATTATTATTTTAATAAAATTCATTTTATTAGAAATATTTTAATAAATTTGTAATAATTTAAATTGTTTTTTTTTTTTAAATAATCAAAAAGCAACGTTTATCCCAGTAATAATCTCCAACTTGGCGAGATTTCAAAAAGTCGCCAAGAAGAGGCTATTCTAGGATTTTACCAAACCAAGGTTTGAAAAGTAACAGTGAAGCTAAGAAATTTTTTTTTTCTCGTCAATCGGTTTAAATTTCTTGAAGTTGCTACTGAAAGGGTATGCTTGTGAATACCCTTGTTTTTAAACTTCAAATGATCCTCTATTTAGATGCAGTTTCGTTTTTATAGATGTTCGTAAATATGGTTACTAGTTCTAGATCTAAAAATATTGTGTATTACCCTCAGGAGTGCCGCTGGAAGTTTGCTCGCAAAAGTTCCGAAATCCCCCAACTAGACGATTTTAAACATATATTTTGAACTGTTTTCGAATAAATTTGCTCTATTTTTCTTTGAAAAGGTCTATTAATTGTTTCCCATTCGAAGATATCTCACTATTGACCTTTTGCTGGTAACTTACCTATTTACCCAGCAATTCGTTTTTGCGTCAATTTTTTTTTTAAAGAAGATAATTGATAAATTGCCAAAGTTTTCAAAATTCAGAGAAAGTTACGATTTACCTAATAAGATGAAGCAATGTAAATTCAACTTACTTTGAATAATCGAAAAATGGTAGCCACTGCCTCAGAAACAGCGCTATTCGCCGCACCAACGACTGCTTTTACTTTCCTACATCTAGTGCAATTAGTAATACTTGCAGTTTCCAAGAATTGCAATGATTGTTGTAAAGCGTATGAATCAGAAGAGCAAGTATCTACAATAATAGCACCCAATCGAAACGGATAGTAGGTTCTATTCTGATTTATTTGATCGATTGCGTATAGCATTGCTTCTAGACGTTGTATTCCTTTTTCAAGAAGAATCTCCCCACATGGTTCCTTTTCAGAAATTCCGTTTGTATGAACAGGAAATAAACCACCCAGAATTACGCTATTCTCGTCTCCTATCGAGATTTGGTCAGTATCAACCATTCCAAACATCAGTCCAACAGCGATTATCAGACACGAATTAATATAGAGTGAGTTGTTGATAGTGAAATGTTTCATGGTGTTTATGGTAATTTAAGGAGAAGTTGAAGTATATTTTTGTGGAGATTCTTGTAGCACTATTTTATCTCTAAATTATATTCCATTTCTTTTCTAACACTCACATTCTAAAAGACAGAAAAAGTAATCAGGTTAAAATAGTTGATAGAAATATGCACTCAAAGCAAAATGAACAACATTGTTGAATACAAAAGAAACATATTTTTTTTCTCTCTCTCTTCATTTTTTCAATCCGATTTCTATAAATTTAAGTGTTGTACCCTCAGTTTACAAAATGTTAATATATTCTGAAGGAATAATGCCGATCTAGAGTATAAAAGTTGATGTGTTATGGAGATTTGTATTAAAAGTATCAAATTTATTTCTTACAATTCTTTATTGTACATGTTTTGAATGATATTACTTTTTTATGAAAAAAAGTAGCGAGAGCAGAAACGCAACCCCTTTTCAAAAGAGAGGCCTACGGAAAAAAAGAAATATAATGTAATAGATGTAAACTAAATAAAATTATTTTATATACATGAAAAGTAACTTAAAATAGTTACTATGTCCGGGATTTTGTTTAGACTTTAGTTTACCATAACAGTTAAGCATAGTATACAATATTAAATATAAATATCATATTGTATGAATGTATATTATTTTTTAATTGCTATTATAATCTAGTTAGGCAGTTAATGTTTACATGGAGAATTAAGGTCATCCTTATTTTGCTAATAAATTCTTTTTCACAACTTCTTTAACTTAGTAGCGTATACGTTACCGGAAATTACAAAAACGAAATCGGAAGTAGGTAGCAGTTTCAGCTCCATTTCTGTGTGAGTATTTCTCTGAAATATTTAATTTTTTAAAAGCTCGCAGTTTCTCGGCTAATAATCTGAATTATGCCTAGTATTTGACAACCTTAAAAACGAGTATTTTGACTAAAAAAAGAATCACGTTCGTGTTTCATTATCTTATAATAATGTCCAATTCTTCTAGTTCTCAAAACTGTTTTGTTTTTGAATGTGCATTAAATAGAACTATATTTATAGCAATTTTAGTAATTGATCATAGCTCTCAAACTTACCGGAAATTGCTGAAATGAAACTGGAAGTAGGTAATAGTTTCAGTTTCATCTCTATTTGTGTGAATATTTCTCCGAAATATTTAATTTTTTAAAGCTCCTAGACTCCCGGCTATTTCTCTTAAATATATTTAAAAAAATATGTTACGGTATATTATTGTTTGATGGCAATACATGAAAAGTTTAGTATGTTCGCAGTTGTATTATCCTTAATTTATCATTAGATAAAAATATTTTAATTTTTTTCTCCTAATTATTAACAAATATGATATTTAGATTCATTTATACATACATATATTAAAGCATAAAAATATTATAAAATTGTTGTTTTATCAAAAATTGTTCTTGTGTTGAATAATAAATGCGTTTTAGATTCTTGACGGTATTCCTTAACTACTTTGAAATATCGAAACAAAAAACTCCAGGCTTTAAATACAAAAATAAAACTAAGCAAATATGTGAAGAAACCTATAAAATAAAGTAACTTCCAGCTGTCAAACACTCATAATTTTCAACTAAAATGTAGTTATAAACTTCATTCATTTTGATAACTGCATCTTTCTCAAAATTAAAATTTTGCAATCTTTTGTCTGCGAAAAACAAGATAACTCAAATAATTATTAAAAATTTGTCTTCAAATTTTAAGTGAATGTTTCTTGCATTTGTGGTCTCTGTTCTATGAGATATTTTGTTATAAATAAAGTGAAAAAATGGAATTAAAATTCAGAAAAATATGCTTAACATAACCATAATGGTTAATAATTTTATGATATCATTTAAGTTTACGTTCACAACACTTCAGACGTCTACAGGAAGCTGCTCAGAATATTTGATTTCTGTATGTACAGTGCTCTAAAAAAGAAAAAAAATGGACTAACCTGAATAACGTTTGATCTAACTATCGGATCTTTACGTTTTAGGATCCTAAATCCTAATGGCTTGAGGCGATGACTTTAAATGTGCTAATTAATATGTGCAGACTATATTTTAAGTTACGAAATCAGGCACAAGATAATACGATATAAGAATTGTACACCTTATCATTCAAAAATTTCCCACCATTTTTAAATAAAAAAATAAAAAAAAAATAATTATTTACTAGGAGTTAAATTTAGAATCGAAATTGTTTTAGATCAACGAATTTTATAATTGCTTGCAAATAGTTTTGAATTCGATTGAGAAGTTCTCGAAATGTGGCAAGTAAGAATAATTTCAACATTAAGGGGTCCAAAATTCGGACCTCTATTCTGATCAAGCGATGGGGACCATATTTCCCAGTTTGCTGCTACCCCTATATTTTAGAGGTCAGTAATCCAAATCAGTCAGAAAAAAGGGTATGTTATACAGAGAAAGTACGTTTTTGTGTCTGACTTCGTAACTTAAAATAACGTCTGAACTAATTAATTAGCATATTCGATGTTAAACCTCCTCTAATCTTTAAGATTGAGTCCTAGAACGTGAAGACCCAAGCACTGAATTAAATGTTATTTAGGGTGGTCTGTTCTTTTATTTTGTGCACTGTACATAATGAAAATAAATTTATGAAGAAAATGAATTAAGAAGGACGGAAAGAATTTAAAATATTTAAAAAAATTATGTTTTACTTTAGGTTCCTAGAAAAAATGAGCTTTTTTCTTTAACATTCAGCATTCTTGAAAAAATATTCAAGCATTTAATGGAACTAAAATGTAACAATAACCCCAAAACGATTTAAAAGAAATTTAATTAATTCAATAAAAAGTAATAAAAGAGAACTGTAAACTCATAGTCTAAAGGAGTAGTTAAGCAAATGTCCGAGGTGGGGAGCTGTTAAGGCAAAAAACCCTAAAGTAAAAGTTCACTTTCCCTCATTGTATCTATTCAAATGATTGTGCATCATTTAAAATTTTTATGCATTTTTTTAATAAATTGCAGTTATATAAGTTAATATACTTGTATTATTTTCAAAACAATTTGATGTCATTCCCAATTAGCTTTCTTCAAGTTTCGAAGAAATATACAGAATTTTAAATTGAAAATTTCATTTAAAATCAAATTTGATCTACTGACAGAGAATCAATTTTAATATTATGAGTTTAATAATCGTATGTGCATAGGACAAAACTATATCTGATAAATATTTTTATTTCATAATTTTTAATCGAAATTCTGCATTCGCGATAGCAACGCTTCAATACACCCTCTAGTGGGGAGGATATTTTTAGGCTTTTATTTATTAAGTTTTGATTTAGTTTTATCAGAATCATTGGCAGAGCAGGGCGCCATTTTTTTAGTAGCAAATAAGAAGCAAAGTTTCCCTAAGAAAAAGACTGAAGAACTTGAAAACGACCCAGTACATTGGTAAATTTTTCTGAAACAGAACAGGCCCAACATTTGCAGAACAATTTCTCAAATTTTTTTACCTTTCTATTATCAACAAGCTTGCAACCGATAACTTCCGTTTTCATGATCGCATACTGTTACAGATGTATGTATTACGGTAAAAAATATTTTTTTTGGCTTCAATTCATTACAAATTAGAGTGAAGTCAACATTGCTTACTGCATTCCAATGGATAAATGTGATTTCAGAACGTGCAGAACTGTAATAGTTATAGAATATTCTTATTCTTTATAGAATAGTGTATATTTCTGTATCAATATAATTCGGAAAACAACAATAAAGAATTATCCAAATTATTTGAAATAGTGTCATTTGTGTTGATTATTAATGAATTTTTATCGTTTTCTTCTTAAGTATTTTTTAATTTTGAATGAATAATTTCAACTAGAATTCATATATTCTGTTTTAAAGTTTCATATTGAAATTCATATCGAGATCTTTTATAAAATTTTGTTGTGTGCTATGTCATCAAAAAGTAATGAAGGGCTAATCTATGTATAAATTATTTGAGAATGAAATTTTCAAACAAAGAGCATTTCATTTGGAATTCTCCGGATTTATAAAGCAAGTAAGTGTTATGATTTTTGTAATCAAAAATTTACTTGTAAATAATTTTTTTCTCTAATTTGGTGACAGTTCTCTATAGTATGGTTTTCTACGTCTTTGACTTGAATACGCTCCTTAACTTTAAGACTAAAGAAAAAAAAAGGAACAATATGAAAGTTTTTATTTCAAAATGAGGAATTTTTAGAATATATTTTTTTTTATCGCAAGCATTCTTTATTTTACGTTTTTTAGTTTATAATTTTTTGATAAAAATTGCTGTCGAAAAACGTTTTTTGCAAAATTAAATAGTATAACATTACATGTTTCTGTATACTTTTTGCATATTTCAATGTTTGAAGTGATATGATTCAGAAAAGTATGGAATGTAAAGTTTAAACAGACCTTTCATATTAGATTATTAAATTTAGTAGAACTAGTTTAGTTTAGTTAACCCTAATAGGAGGACTTTTTGCAAATATTTTTGTGTTTTGGATATTCCTTTCCTAAGCCTTCCTGTTCCTTTCCTGGATGTTCCGTTCCATTCCATTTTGTTTTCATTTGTATAAGATATAATATTAAACATTTTTCTTTTTTTAATTTAATAAGCCCTAATAAAGAAGGAAAGTTACCATTTCACACTAAAGAAATCTCCAGTGTAACTGATGATCATGTCGTTTTATTAGCAGTCATTCGCCGTCTTAGATAACAACGTCCCCTATTGGTCGTTGGATTCGCGAATTGTTTCCAGACAGACATTTTAAATAAATTTAATAAATAAACATCATTGTATTATTTTTATCATTTGCAGTTTCAAATAATCGTTTTGTTAGCAAATTTGGTTGGAGAGTTAGAAATTTCTCAACTTTTAAGTTCAATCTATTCTATTGTTTGCGCTATATCACGAATTGCAGGAGGTTAAATAATTTGCTGCGAACCATTCCATATATTTTTTAAGAGCACAGCTGCTATCTTTTCGCCATCAAATACAGTATGAAAGGATTTATAAAATGTCTAAATAATGCTATTCTTTTAACTCTCTTAACTTTCATTTTCCTTATCATTTTTGGAATAGTGCATTTAATATGTTTTTTTTGCATACGCAGACTCACTAAT